CAAAGAATTAATGCATTTTCACTATATAATCAATAGAGCCCCACCCTAACACCATAACTCCTGACCCTGGGGGCATGAAATTCACAATTTTGGAAGAGGCACTCTTGCTCATCATAACTATGTACTCAGTTACTTTATTTAATACCCAGGAACAGAGAAGAAGATTTTCAAAGAATTAATGCATTTTCACTATATAATCAATAGAGCACCGCCCTAACACCAGAACCCCTGACCCTGTGGCCATGAAATTCACAATTTTGAAAGAGGCACTCTTGCCCTTCATAACTATGTACTTAGTTTGTTTATTTGATACCCAGGAGCAGAGAAGAAGATTTTCAAAGAAATAATGCACTTTCACTATATGATCTATATAGCCCCACCCTAACACCAGAACCCCTGACCCTGGGGCCATGAAATTCACAATTTTGGTAGAGGGTTCAATGCTTTTTACAATCATGCCAACAGTTGGACTGCTTGATGTCCAGGAGTAAAGAAGAAGTTTTTTAAAGATTGCATTAATTTTGGTGGTTTTAGCCCCACCCCTCAGGCCCCAGGGGGGCAGGGACCATGAAATTCAAATTTTTTGTTCCCCTTCACCCATAGATGCTATATACCAAATTTGGTTGAAATTGGTTAAGCGGTTCTGGAGAAGAAGTTATAAATGTTCAAAAGTTAACGGACGACGCACGACGCATGCCGACGGACGAAAACGGATAGCAATAGGTCACCTGAGTGACTCAGGTGACCTAAAAATGGCGGAAAGATCAATGATAGATTTATGACGCAAGGTTATGCAATTTATAAAATAACATCTGAGCATGCGCCATCTATCAGAGTGTGGGCGTTTTTTAAGCGAAGGATTGTGTAATCGTATGAGGAATGTATAATTATAGATGCATGAATTGAAACATGTGAAATCTATTTAAAATACACAGATGTAAAGCAAAGTGATAGATATAGTGTCCAAAATAATTGGTCGTTGTTTGTGACCCATGCCACTATTAATGAGGAGTATAAAAGTGATTGCTAATTCTTCATTCAGTCTTTGTACTGACCAAGAAAGGGTTGGGTAGAAAAAAATTGAAATGGAGAGTGTTGCGGTTATGACAAATTTGATTGAGAACACTTTTGATGAAGAGTGTAGAAGAACACTCAAGCGATGCTGAAGGGACAAAGTGTGGATGATTCCAATGTTTATCATTTTAATGGCCGTTCTTGTATTGCTTTGTGTCAATCTCCTATGGCTGAAGAAAAGACAAAATGGCATTGATTTAGCGATGGATATCGTAAAATGGAAAAATGATGAAAACAAAACATCTCCAATGTTTCCGTATACTGACCAGTTACCCCTAACTTATGATGTTTATGTTTCTATATGTAGCTTAAACCAGAACAGATTGATTGTTATTCGGCGTTTTAAAGACGGTTTACCTACTATTGAGGGAATACTAATGAGTAGAATGCAATGGCAATATTTGAAAACATCTGTTGGACATATTGACTCTTCTATTTTAAACGCCTACCTTTGATCCGCGTGAGAGTTTGAATTTTATCTGCATACTTAGTAAATGAAATTATTTTTTTACACTTAGTCCAATGAAAATGGTTTTTCACTTTTAAATATCTCTTCTTTTGGCTTAAGTGTTTATTTTACTATGGAAAGTCAAAGGACACATTACAAATGGGAAATTGTAGCCTGGAGTGTACTAAGATTCTCGAAAGAGTCTGAAAAGAAAACTTGGACTTTACAAGAAAGTCAATGGTTTGATCGCAAAGCAGATTGTATCAATGATTTTCAGACCGTTATCAACGCATGTGAGTTCAAGCTAACATGAATTCTTTAAAACGCAACATTTGCATCAATGTACGACTTGTTTCATACCAACTAGCCGTATTCCGCTATATTTCTTTCAGATACCTTGTCTTATTGTAACGATATATACCCCAGTGCCCCCGTTACACTTGAGTGAATTTTTGGTTTGGCTATCGACGCGTGCACATCTCCCATAGTTAAGTATTTGGGAACACATGAATTGTTGAAAACATTTTGAAATCAGAACAGATAAAAACAGTCATAAAGATATCTATGAATAATTATCGTTTTGAATAATATAAATAAAGGTTTGGAAGAAAAAAAAAACAAAGTTGCGCGTGTATTTTTTAAAAATATATGCATAATAAACTTGAAATAATACACAGTAAATCGTACAAACAATTTGCAATAATCTATCGTAAGAATGGAACAAACAACCATCGTATTTGCTATGCACGTCCGTATGCATTCAACACAAATACAATTGATGCATATATCGAGAGAACAGTTCGAACGCTGTAAACTAATAGACCACTGTGCCGTTCGAAGATGTGCACATGCCGAGTGATTTACACCTTGTAATCCATTTATTGAAATATGCATCACAAAAAAGTAATAAGAGTAATAAACTCCATAAATACTGAACAGTAAACACGATGTCACTTCATCGTACATCCTAGCACTCAAATGCACTTAGTCCGTGCTGGTCAGATCTTGGTCAGGGAAAATATCAAAAGGGAAACAGGGAATTAGTATTGGCGCGACTAGGTAAAAAATAAGAAATCACTAAAAAAAAAAGTCTGATTGCTGATTATCTAAAACTAAATTAAGTAATTTGATGTAAGAAAATGATTTAGAGCACGACATTAAAGTATTTAACCATAACACAAATTAACAAATATACACACACGTGGAGCAGGGGTGGGGGGTGGGGTACCCCCTTTTCTGAGAGTGTCTTTCAGATACGTAGCAACTAAGAAATCATTGACACTTTACCTGAAAAATCTAAGAAATCATTGACACTTTACCTGAAAAATCTTTGACAAGAAAAAAATTAATAACAAAAATATTAATAAGAAAAATAAAATAATAAAAAAAAAAATCACCAACACTTATTTTGTGGGGAGCAACTTTTCGACGATTTGAGTATAGTGCAACAGAAAGTGAAGCGGATCAGCCTTGTAGTGTGCATTTCATACTAAACAGTGAAACATTATGCTCGGAAAAAAGTGGGAGGGGTCATCCCCCCATGCGTTATACAGGCCTGTCTTTTATGGTTGATTTTGTAAGGATTTCTTTAAGACTGGTTGCCCCCCCCCCTCCCCCTCACACCCAACACTATAGTATTGTACATTGTACTCAAATATTTTTCTGCCGAAAATAATAGTATAATCGAATGGAATCTGTCCTTCCCCTGATTACTGATTTTTTGTAATGCCTGTTTTCCTTCTTCACCCCAATTTTTAAGTGCTTAAAGTTTTTCCTTTGCTTGTCAATCATTTCACTACCCCCACCTGCTCCCCTGCGCATACACATATTTTGAGAAACGGTGCTACTTGCCTGTTTTATATGCATGTAAAGGAAGCCTTTTCAAACTGGAGAGTTTCCGCAGGCAGTCTAAAATTTGGTACCTGTTCAATTTCTTGTATTTTGAGAAAATCTTAAAAGATAGTTTATGTATTACTTGAAATCCTAACCGCAAGATTATGGATAAATATTGTTTTGCATTTTCAATACAAGTATACTCTCTCTCTCTCATGTGTAAGCATTCATAAAAGCAATAATGCATATAAAATTCGATGTAGTAAAAAATCATGGGAAATGCTATAGTCTTCACAAGGGCAAATTAAGGATTTTTTCTGGGGCAGGGTGGATTAAACCTGAAGAAAAAATAGTCTCCTTTTTTGACAAGACCCCCCCCCCCCAAAAAAAAAAGAAGAAGAAGAAAACCTACACATCCAAACGAAAGGGGGACTAAACAATTGTGAAAACTATATTTCACGGGAATGAAAACATGTGGACCCTTCTCACATACTTTCCAGATCAAACGAAGTCAGTTTTTATACGCCCGTCTTAAGACGGCACGTATTATGTTATAGCGTTCATGTCCGTCCGTCCGTCTGTTAGCTTTTCGTGTCCGGCTCATAACTTTAATACTTTTAGGCCTAGAGTTATCAAACTTTGTCATCTGATGCATCTTGGGTAGAAGGTGTGTCGCGCATTAAAAGTAGGTCGCTCTGACCTTTAATTAAGATGTTATGGCCAAATATGGAAAAATCCTGTCCGGCTCATAACTAGAAAACTATGAAACTTAGAATCATCAAACTTGGCCAATTTATGCATCTTAGGTAGAAGGTGTGTCGCGACCTATTTCAAGGTCACTGTGACCTTTAAGTGCAATATAAAAAAAAAGTCTTTGTACTATTAAATTACACAATCCCAAAAAATGTAAGAGTGTTGCAGTATACAGATTAAAAAATGTTAAATCAAGAAAATACTTGTTTTTTCCATTATATACTTTACAGCAATCTATAACAAATGTAATGTTATAAGAGAAATTCCACCTCTCCCATGGGTTTAATTATCAAGCACTGGTCAAGTAGAATTTTGATAACAGAAAATTGCATGTCAAATTAGAGAGAAATTAATGAGTTTAGTGTGAGGAGCTAACTGGTAGAGCATCTCTGATTAAGCAGGTGTTATCTATATCTCTTGGGAACTGTGCAAATGTTGGATTAAATACTTGTAGTTCTTGTTCACAGGCTAGCCTAACTTTTAAAATGAATTTGGTGAAACGTAATTAAAACTTATTTGATACTGCATGAAAATTAAATAAAATTTGTTGATATTTTATAATAAACTAATTATTGAAAACTAATTATACTGGGGGGGGGGGGTTAATGTTGAAATCAGCATGCCCATTGTCCATATGATTGCAGCTTAAGACCAGCTAGTGTGACATTAAAGGAAACGTATGGTTTACACAAAAAATGTCATATGTCAAAGGTTGAATGGTCAGTAATTAATTCCACTGGGTATTTTCATCTGATAATTGTTAGTTTTGTAGAAATCAGTTTCTAAATATTGCTATACAAATGCTGCTGGGGGCTGCCATTTTGAAAGATAAAGTTATCGTTCTTTATGATATTTCCCACAATCCCATCTGCTTATGACGTATCTGGGGCAATATTGCCTCTGAAGCTCTTCTGAGTGATAAGAAGCTGATCATGTCTGACTGTAAAGGTTATCAATATGAGCCCGAGTATAATGAAGAGGAATTATTGGCAGCTTCAACTGAAAACAATAGTGATTTGGGAATGATTGAAGAAAATGACAGAGGAAATGATAAAAATTGGTGCTCTTGTGGACATTGTGACATTCTCCCGAGTCGTAGAGAATGTGTATGTTGTCAGGAGTTTGAGCATTATGCTGAAAATTACATTTCTTCTCAATGTCCATGCATTTCACAGCATAGTGACTTTGAAATGGTGAGTCTAAATAGAACAGTTTTGGAAACAGCCTATGTTGCATTTATGCGATACAAAAGGAAAAGAGGACCGGCTCCCCAAGTTTTGACAAACAGGTGAGTGCTCGTGAAAAACATTGTGGAAAAATCATTTCATCAAATATTTATTTCTCTTTGAAATAAGAAATAAATACAGCACAATATGTAATAAATAATGTAAATGATTGCATATCATAGAATATATCTCTAAACAATTAAATATAATTTAATTGTCCTAAATAAAATTGTATTCAGTAATTTGTAATGCATAAATAAATGCCCAGTAAATAGTTGCAGGTATCTTTTTTTATATATATATTGTAGGCAATCAAGGCTTATGGCATACAGGCAATTTATTTGTTTTGTGAGGAGGGGACAGCCATTAGGGAGAAAGAATAGAGTGGTGTTACCTGCTTGTGTCGTCATTAAGATAAGAAAAACATTCCCAGATGATGCGTATGAAGGTTTCCATAGCGAATCATCAAGTTCTGATTCAGACTGAATAAAATGTTATCACCTTGACATTTATGTTCTTTTCATTCTGCACTGAACCAGTGTAACACAAGCATCCAATTAATTTAATTTATAACGTGAAAAATGAGATTCTATCAAATCAGACTTATCAGGAGCTGGAATTTTAGCAATGTTCTTCGGTAGATCCTTAACTTTTCTTTGATGAGGTGTTATAAATATATTTTCTGATATTTTATTCTCCAATGTAATTTCAAGCAGTTCTTTTCTAAAGGAATAATTTTTTTTTCGTATCGACTCTTCACAGTCCATCTTCCTGTAGCTTTAGAACACTGAGGGGCATATACTTCCTGACCATTCTTGTCAATTTTTATACCTCTATTCAAATTAAAGTTATGATCAAGAACAGCCAACTGAGTTCTTGCAACCATTTGGGGGTACTGAAATTCCTGTCGCTTTGGAACATATTTTAGCATCATAGAATGGTACACCTCAATTTCTCCTGTGTGACAAAAATGATTGAGCTGTTTTAAATCATTTTGTATTCGTTTGTCCGTAACAATTTTTTCAAGTGCCTTGTAGGCCTTGCTTTTCCTCTGAATCCATTTTTTCTTTCGAGATTGCTCTGGCGAAAGCGGAGGATGTCCACATTGAAAGTATTTTTCCCCATTGAAGGAGTGGACATTTTGAATATGGTGTAGAATTGATGTCCACATTTCTATCAAAAGGTCTGAATCCCCTCTGCATTCTGCAGCACAGTACCAAACATGATTAACGATACTCCTTACCCAAGGCATTAATTCCTCATTTTCTTTTTTCTTTGCAATAGCCACCAATTTCTTACGAATGCTATTTGCCAAATGCCAGACATCAAATTGATGGGAAATATGAGGCAAATGGTCCTTTATATATTTTCTGATTTGTACATGTCTGTCACTGCAGAAAATTTTGATATTGATGTTGTTATCAATAAGAGATGTAAAAGAGCGTTTAAATCCTTCCAGCTCCATCCGTGATGATGAACCAGTTTCGGTAACCTGAATGACCTTAAAGTCTAGTATTGCGGAGCTTACAGCTTCCATTATAGTGTATGTGCAGTATTTGGCACAAAAACCAGGACTATCACATCGTCCATCTCCAATAACTGTCAATTGTTTGTTTTTAAGACGTTCATGTAAAACAGTCTTTTGTTCATTGTAAAAAGTATCTATTGCAGGCAGAACAAATTTGTTTCCAATATCATAAAATACCGATTTGCAAATGAAGTTTAATCCTAATGTACTTGAAAAGCTTGATATAGAAGAGAATGTATTTCCAGAGGCATATGTTGCTGCTGTCAAAAGGATATTTCCCACAGGTTGCTTTCCAATAAAAGGCTGAGATTTCCAAGAATATGAATGATTATTCAAACATGTAAAACTGACTTTCAGGGCACTTCCGTCAACGATTTTCCTTACATCATCAAAATCGAATGGTGAATGACAGATCTGGCATACAATCATTTTGAAAAGAACATCCAGGCAGCTCGAAAAAACCATAAACTTTGATTCATTGACAGTATCCTTTGGTAAATTATTTTCTGCAGTCTGGGGATTAGAAAAACTTGCACTTGGCGATGAATCTGGTGATTCAAATGAAATTTCAGAGAAATGAAATGAATCATCTATTTCATGTACTGGGGACACAGTCTCTAGTGAATCATGAAAGGAATCTGAGATAGGCTTTTTCATGGGTGTGGATGTGAGAGGTGGGTCTGGTTTGCTTGGGGCTTTGGAATAAACATGATCTGATATTGAGATCATTGGATTACTCCTTAGGACACATGCTGGACAATGATTGGGTATTTCTATTTGTATATTGCACAAAGTTGATTTATCTTCTGAATGGATAGGAGTACTTTTCTCATTTTTCATGTCTTCATTGAGCTGAAAATATAGAATTGAAATTATTGTTTCATGATGTATAAAGTTCTCTGCATGTAAGGAATTTCCATGATGATGCAATGTATTTCACACAATAAATATTTACCTTTATTTTCTTTGAAGATTTTATTTTTTCTGGCGGTTTTCTCTTTCTATGATTTATTGGTACATCTGTTTAAAAAAATTTTGCAATGTGAAACTGTATACAGAGCAAATCAGTTAATGTAGAACTACACTCCTGTAATTGCCGCGTAAATGTCAAACATTGAAAGGTTAACTGCACTCGGAGAATTAAAATGACCTTGCTTGTAAAACTTTCTTTATCAGTTATATTAGAGTAAGGCATCAAATCACCTGTTTTGTTCACTGTTGATGGTCCAGGTTGGTCAACAGGTTCTGTATTTTTATTGGTTTCCAGAAGACTACTGATTAGCTGCAAAATGAAAAATACCGTAATGAATTTTAATTATAGATACTGAAGTCACAGTCTGTACTTCATTTTTTCCTAATGAATTAAAGTTAATTTTTTAAATATTTAATGCAAGTCTGAGGCTGCAGTAAAAGACTCATAGATGTGTTACCTCCTGTTTTTCCCTTTTCTCAGATCTTTTTGAGCTAGTTTCTCTTATTTTCTTAGGCTTGCTGTCATCAAATATTGTAGGTACTGCATCCTCTTTTAATTGTTTTCTCTTTGGCGTGTATCCCATTATCTTAGCCTATTAAAAATTATTAATATTAATTCAACTAAATAATATGAAGCAGTGTTAACTTTTTCATTTTAGCCTGAACATAATGTTCAAAGGAGGTAAAATATAAAATCAAATAAGAAATTGATTATGAGTAAAGTTTTCAGATTTGTAAAACAAAAACATGTGATTTATGGAAAATTATTATATTTAACCTCTAAAAAAAGTAAATAATTGGTACCTACCCTCATATCCTCTTTGAAACAATCTTTCTTAAAATGCCTTTCACATACAATTTTCTCTTTTGAAAAAACAAACGTTTTAGGGTTTAATTTTGCATTTCCAAGGTTATGAATCCATCGTGCACAAAGTTCATAATTCTTTTTTGGATCAGGGATGCTGAAGGTAGATATTCCTTTTCCTCTGACCACGGTGCAAAATTTTGCTTGACACTCCGGCATTTTTTGGGATACACTGCAACTCTATTAACCCATTTGGTGCGAGAGGCACAGCAGCTGTGATGAATAGGCGCAAGTACGTCATCAGCCGCCATGATAAGGGATTCTCCCATTCAGCTCGATTTTCAGTGTAAATGACAGATTAACTCTTGTTATCAGCAGCAATTAATTTTAATTTGCTAAGTTTAGTTATCTACAAGGTACCAGGTTTCACATATCAAAATTAAATTTTTGACCATACGTTTCCTTTAAATCTAAAAAAAATCAAGTATTTAACAAAATGTTTTAATTATGGTAGATAGCCACTACAAATTTAAGAGTCATGCAGGAACCTTATTAATAATGTTGCTTCAAGATGACAAAAGTTTTTTTTCTTTTTAAAAATCTTTGTAACAAATTTTTAAAAAAATCTTTGTTTTCAAATTTAACTTCAGGATGACATAAATATGAATTTTTATTGCACTACAAAGCAAATAGTGCCAGGGATTGGCACGATTACTGAAAAATGTAATCGATTAATAATGATTACTTAGAGGAATTTAGTGTAATCGATTATTAATCGATTACACTCATTTTTGTCCTGTAATCGATTAATAATCGATTACTTCCAAGTTTTTATCCCTTCAAATATCAAAGCAATATTTAAATGTTGATGTTATCCACTGAAGTTTGAATGTGTTTTTGCAGTTTCAGTGCAGATTCTTTTAAGGTTTTATTCTGGCTAACATCCTCACTAAATGCCCAAATGAGGGATTCTATACCATGGAAAGTGGAGACATGATTCCTACAATAAAATGTGCCAAGGAATTAATTATTCCTTTCAACCTTGGATCTGAACCTCCATTAATAATTTATTGACTTGTTGCAAAAATTATCTTATATTTTATTGTGAATTACTTCATTAGAAGTATTTGGGCTGCCCGTATGTTAACAGTACACATTAAACATTCCTGTATGTGTCTTTTTCAAAAAAATAAGTAAATCAGAACTCTTAGTAATAAACATGTAAATTAAATGTGCCTTTAAGTAATTAAACTAATAGCACAATTTTACTCTGTATTGAAATAAGTGTTTTGAGAGCTATTAATTGTTTTATTAATATTGTTTGTCTTCAATGGAATGAAAGTTAACACTAGGTAGTTCACAGTTTACACCTCATTATCTGCAAATCAGGGATGTCTCAGTCAATTATTTAGCCAAGATAAGCAAACACAGTGACACTTTCTCCCTCTCTTAAAAATACAGACTCTTGATATAACCTCTCACTGACAAAAAGCAACCTTACAATTTTGAATGAAAACATGAGAATGATTTTGCAAATTTAAAAGTTACTAAAACACAAGTTTGAAGTCTTTTAAACATTTTCAGATATGAATAAGTATTTCCATCTTCTTTTTTTTCGAGTACAATTTAGTTTATTTACCAAATTATTTATATTTAATACAGCACTTAAATCTGTTTTTGCTTTTTATAATTTTCTATTACAACGAAGACAAAGTTTTTCAGCATCTGAAATATGAAAAAGGACATGCAGCAAGAGGACAGACTGGGTCAAATGTTAAATACACTCGAAAAATCTGTATATTTTATTAATAATTTGGTTGAAATACGCTTCTGAATTATTTAATACTAGACCAGTAGGTCTATAATGCAAATTTTATTGAGAACATTATTAAACTTCTGATAATAAAAGTTAGGAAAACCAAACATTACACTAGGTGGTTTATATTTGATGTTTATGTGTGACTGAGTGGAAATAATTCTCCAAAACAACATCCATTTATGTATAAAATAATCGAAAGTAATCGAAAAAGTAATTATAGTTACATTGAAAATTTTAGCTGTAATAGATTAAATTACGATTACAAGTAATCGAAAATCTCTTCGATTACAGATTACTGCCGATTACTTGAAAAAAAAGTAATCATTACAATCGATTACAATTACTCGATTACGATTACCCCATCCCTGAATAGTGCAGAATC